TAGGGAGTATGACCATGTTGATTGGCCCCTGCTCCTGTGAGACTCCACATGCTGTGATTGCTGTAGAGTCTCCAGGCCTGACCCACATGTGCCTCACGTTTGGAGCACCTCAGTGGCATTTAGAGCTGTGGCAGGGTTCTTGTTGGATTTCTGCACAAACTCCAAAAACACGACCTTTAGTTGTTTCCCCAGGCTGCACACATTTGTACTGTGGTCTGTGCAGAGAGATACACGACTACACAGTCCACTACGTACAGAGACAGGCTCTCCTTCAGGCCAAATAAGAGTCAGGTTTGTGGAGTTGCAAACCTATTCACAAAAAGGACTGTATATATAAATGGACATAGTGAACCCACGTGTCAGCACGTTTCAAAGAGGAGATGAGCATGGGGGTGCCTCCAGTTCCATCCACTGGCTCCAATGTAGATTGTATTCAAAAACTGTCACCCCTCTCTCTGTAACAGCTAGTCAGGATCATCATTTTGAGACCCTGCAGTCACGTGACTGTTTTTGTTTTGGCCACCATATTGACAGGCCTGATGATGGTAGCTAGCATTCTAGTAACATGTAAATTACCTGAATTATGGCAGCCAGTGTGCGAAATACGGGGGATGCCCCCACGATTAACCCATCACACCACCTAATAAGCCTGAAAAAATAAAAATAAAAAATAGTCCAAACGCCATCCCATACAGACTCGGACAGGGTCAGCCCGATGTTCCTCCTGAACTCATAAAAGGCAGCATGTAGAACTTTGTACAAACTCACTGCACATCAGCCTGAAGCAGAAGCTGTGAGTTTGGGTAACAGCAGCAGACTCTGGTTTGGCTCTAGTCCGACTGTAGCATTTCTCACACTAGGCTAAATCCAGTTCATTTTATAAATTGAATCAATTGAATAGGGCCTATTCATCAATTTAGGCTCTCTGTGGCATCCACCGTGGTGTCTTTTTCTTTTTTCACGTTTGAGTCTGTATCGCTCGACAATTTGGAGATGGGGACCCCTGAATATTGACGGGTCTTTGTCACACTGATGGCAGCTCCACTTGTCTGTCAACTTCAACTGGGATCTGATACAACTGAACCCCTGTGTCTCTGCTGATTACAGATCTGTGCGCAACACTTTTCCATCATGTAATGTGAAAATTATGGGAATGACTCGAAAACGTCCTCACTTTACAATGGCGGTCTGGCTCACTGGACCACCGGAAGTGGATCAGGGAAAAGCCGTGACGTCACATGAAGAGTCTCTATACAAGAGGTCATATGGAAACAGAGCAAAGATGATCTGATGATGATGATTGACACAAACATAGGCTTATCTGTTCCATAAGGGTGAGTTGTTGTACAGTTGTAAGGAGTATTATCTGTTCCATAAGGGTGAGTTGTTGTACAGTTGTAGGGAGTATGGTTTGAATGTAGTCTTTCAATATGTGCATTGATCTTTTAGTGCACACATTGAAAGGTTTGACTTCTCTCAGGAAGTAGAATCGACCCAGTACAGTCTGTTGTTTACATGGACACCAAGGTACTTGCAGCAGTCCACTATTTCCACGTCATGGCCCTGGGTGGTGACGGGCTCCACTGGTGTCCTCTTTCTCCTGAAGTCAATCACCAGTTTCTTGGTACTGTCAATGTTCAGAAAAAAATGGTTTGCCTGGGACCACTCCACAAAATTTGCATTCAGTGTCCTGTACCTCAGCTCCTGACTATCTCTGATACACCCAACCACCTCAGAGACCACCACAGAGAACTTCTGGAGATGGCAAGACTTGGAGCTGTACTGAAATCAGAGGTGTACAGAGTGAACAGACACGGAGACAGGACTGTACCCTGGGGAGCACCTACATTACTGACCACAGTATCAGACAGGGTGCTCCCTGTCGCACATACTGAGACCTACCTGACAGGTAGTCAGTAATCCAGCAGACAATGGAGGAGCTGACAGCCATCCTGAGCAGCTTCTCACTCATCAGAAAGAGCTGGATTGTGTTAAAGGCACTGGAGAAATCGAAAAACAATATTCTTACAGAGTCTCTAACGCCATCCAAGTGTGAGGAGCCTGCTGAAGGAGTTACAGCATCTCCCACTCCTAAATGCACTGATAGGCAAATTGTAGAGGATCCAGGGATGGTTCCACCAGGGGTCTGAGCTGAGCCAGAACAAGTCTCTCAAACACTTTCATGACATAAGACGTCAAAGCAACTGGTCTGAAATCATAGAGTCCAGTTGGAAAAGGCTTCTTGGGCACTGGCACAGTGCAGGAGTTTTTCCATAGCACCAGAATCCTTTCAAACTTCAGACTCAGGGTGAAGAGAAAGTGCAGGATCCCAGTGGTGGTGTGCTGCACATGTCCACAGCATGGGGGGGTCGACTTGGTCTGGTCCAAGAGACTTGTTTTGATGAACTTTCTCCAGCTGTCTGCTCACCTGGGCAGGTGGCAGAGACACTGTGCCAGGGGGTGAAAAATTATTAAAATGCAAATTAAGTAGATCTAAACA